AAGCCCTGCAGGCAGTTGCAGCTCTCGGCCTCCTTCCGCACCACATCCAGGACAGAGTCCACCAGCTCGGCCCCCTCTGTGTAGTGGCCCTTGGCCCAGTTGTTGCCTGCCCCTGACTGACCAAAAACAAAATTGTCTGGTCTGAAGATCTGGCCAAAAGGACCAGATCGAACAGAGTCCATGGTTCCAGGTTCTAGATCCACCAAAATAGCACGAGGAACGTATTTGCCACCTGTGGCTTCATTGTAGTACACGGAAATGCGGTCCAGCTGCAGGTCACTGTCCCCATGGTACGTGCCAGTGGGGTTGATGCCATGCTCATCGCTGATCACCTCCCAAAACTTAGCACCGATCTGGTTGCCACACTGACCGGCCTGGATGTGCACGATTTCCCTCATGGTCAAAATTAACTTGTTTTGCTCGCCTCCAGGAGTGTATGGGGCAAGAAAATATGTAGGCTTTTTTCCTTTGCTGGTTGCGGGTTCGAAGGACGGAACGTGCCCTGCAGGCTGGAGCAGCGAGATGCGAACGCGAGGGCAGGAAGATTCTGAGAGGCAGAGCAGAGGGGAGGGCGAAGGAGGGAAGGCGGGCCTGGCCCAGAATTTGCCACGGACAAGATGCCCAGACCTGGGTGCTTCAGGATGAAGTTTTGGTTATAGAGTTTCTCCCCATAGGTGGATGTGCTGCCAGTGCCGTTATGGTGCATGAAGTCACCACTCCGGCACATAAATCCTGGAATAATCCTGTGAAAGCAGGAACCCTTACAACTAAATCCTTTCTCTCCAGTGATCACAGCACGAAAGTTTTCTGATGTGTTTGGAACTTTGTCTGCATATAGCTCCAGGGAGATGTGGGCCAAGGCTCGCTGTGGGTAGTGATGTTGAAGAATGTGGTGGGGTTGACCACAGTTGGCAGTGAATGACCAGGGAAGAGGGTAGTGGCATCCACAAAGCCTACATTGAGTGTTTTATACCAGTGAAAATCTTTTGTTTTTCTTTCAATATTTGAGACATTTTCCAGGAAGTTTCTATCAGTCTTTCATTTGAAGTTATAGCCACTAAACCTTCAATTCATTCTTTCAGTTTCACTGAAGCATATTAAATGTTTGCTAAGTGTGTGTTGCTGGAGGGATATTAGGACAATATGTACCTGAACTGAATTTTGATTTCTTGGGGGAGACTGAACACCTCCATGAGCAAAAGGCTGTGTTCACTACTATATTGTGAACTCTGAGGATTCTGCTGGGGCTCACAAGAGGAGGCACTCACTTTGGGGCTTTGGATGTCACAGAAAGCTTCCTAGAGGAGGCAGCATTATGAATGAGACTTAGCAGGGCAGAAGGGAAGATGCACAGCCAAGCCTTAGAAGCAGCTGTAGTATACAGGACAGTAGGACTTGTGGAGACAGGTCTAGAGAGGAAAGGGTCCATTCATCTTGGGGACATAGTGTAGAGTGTGGTTTGACCCAGAGAGATGAACTGTAGGATGCGGACAGCAGAAGTACGCTGCAGTTGCTTTGGGAGCCTTGAATGCCACATTGCACAGTTCACACTTTATCACAAAAGTAATGAGATTTCCAAATAAATTTGGAGTCTTGGGTGCTATATACACATTGGGATTTTAGCAAGATTATGCTGATAGCTACGTGTGGGTTGCTGGGCTGCAATAAGAAAAAAAATTGAAGGGCTGGTGAGATGGCTCAGTGGTCTAAAGCACCTACTTAGAATAAGCTAAGCCAAGCAAAGCACAGGGACCGCGGTTCAATCCCCCAGCACCACATGCCAGCCAGCCCGGCTCCCTGGTGGGCTGAGCTGGCCACACACACACAAAATAAATAAATAAATAAATAAAATTCAAAAAAAAATTGAAGGAAAAAGTTTGTGGAGGGGAGACTCAATAGATAGAAGCTATTGTGGAGGGAGGAAAAATTGTGAAGTGAATGGATTTGAGGGAGTTTGTGAAGGGAAAGTCATTGGAACTTGGTGGCTACATGAAGAAATGAGAACTGAGGAAAGGAATAATTAAGGGTGATGTGATGAGGGCTTTATTTCTTAGTGAGTAGGACAACAATCGCACCATTGGTAGAAACATGAAAATTGTTTTGTAAATTTCAACTAAGGCAAAAAGAGGACCTCTCTGAAGTTTAGGCATGTAGAGCTGGAGGTGGTGTTGGGACACTAGGTGGATGTGTCCCATAGAACATTAGCAATAGCCAGTGGTGTTTGAGTGTCCCTTGCCCAGCTTTATTTGTACCCTTATTGCTCAGCAAAAAATATTGAGCAAAGGAATACAGACTAGACTGAATCAGACCTTCCATTATGAGTGTAAGTTGCCCACCTAATTCAGTAGAGAGTTACATAAGATCCATCTCAGAATTTTATAGCAGGTCTGTACACTCCATCTTATGGATGTATGTGATGGCCAGATTCCTCTAACTAAAGTTTGGGTTTGTGCCCAGACCTGCCATATGGCAAATGGCCAACCTTCTTCACCCCTTCCAGTTGTAGAATTTTGTCCTTGTTTCCTGTATCTTAGAGTTTGTGGCAGGGAAGCCTTTGGGATTTTCATGCATGTTATGAACATGTTATCAGGGACTGCGACATTGAGCCCTTTGGTTCAATCCAACAAACACCTTGTAGTCAATCTAGGCCTCAGCAAATTTCTTCCTAATAGTTTATTGAAGGAGGGGGACAGCTCTCACTCATCTTTTCTACTGTCATAGAACCTGTTTTATAACTTCTATTTCCTTTTGAGGCTGTCTCCCATCTTCCTTTATACTTTATTTTCCCAGGATTTGGCATTTTGGAGCAGGGGATGGGACAAAATTGTTGACTATTACACTGTTCAGCACCAGGGCCCACCTCTAAGGGAAAAAGCTCAATCCATTAAGAGGAGGGCAATCAGCCTTCGACATCTCAAGAGCTCTGTGAACTGAAGCCCATTCATTAAGACAAGACCAACACATCCATCCTCACAAATACCAATTCTTGCTCCAGGCTATGTGGGAGGGACAGTGGCCTGGAGGATGACCCCAATATTTCCTGAAGGGCATGGCCTGCCATTAGATGACTCAGTGAGCATCCTAGCACTTCAGCCAGGAGGCAGGGCAAGAGCTGTATCTTTATCCTCTTGGGGTGGGATTACTCTGTCTTGGCACCAGGTCAACAGGAAAGCCTTCATGAATCAGCTCTCTGCCTATGATCTCATCAGCCAAAGCACAGCTTCAGCATGGGAAGCAGAGCCCCAGTGCCTGCATTTTCAAGATGTCCCAGGCCACTGGCCTCGGAGTATGACCCGCTTAGTTTCAAATCCTAGCTCTTCTGGTATATATATATATATATACACATACATATATATATATATATATATATATATATATATTTCACAGGCTTATAAGAGTTAATGTGCAAGAGTTTAGCAAAAAAAAAAAAAAATTAGCATAGTGTTCAAGCCCAATAAATGCACTCAATGGTGTTATTAGTACCATAGTCCTGTATTTCAGTGTCAGTATAGTAGTGGGTAATAGTATGGTTTCTGGAATTAGACAATTTAGGCTGTAACCAGCACTGCAAAATGTAATCTTAAAAGTTAGATTTTGTTTTAGAGATAAGCAGCTTTTCTAACCTTCCTCCACACATGTAATCAATACCTTTTCTTCTCTTCAGCCCCAAAGAAAGGACAGAATATGCAGACACAGGCCCCAGGAGGCCAGGGCTCAGGTTCCTTTCCACAAGAAAGAAAAATAAATCAAAGACGGCAGGCCGCAGAGATTAAACAGGTGTGCAGATCTGCATTGTTTCTGTGTTCCTCCTCCCCTCTGTTCCTTACTATAGAAGACTTTTAGTCACCTGCATGAGGAGATGGTGATTTGGAGTATAGAGGCTCTAGGGCTCCTTTATCTCCTTAGGACTAGCAAATAGATCCTTCTTTTCCTTTTTAACAAAGTATATGGCTTTCTTTGATTTAGTCAGAGGTGAGCAAACAGACCAAGCTTATAAACCCAAGTGGTTAATGCCAAGACTGGGTAGGCGTGAATCTGGCATCCTCACCTTCCTAGTTGTGAGACCTTGAGCAACTTTATTTGGCTGAGTCTTGTTTCCTCATTTGTAAAATGTGAATAACCCAGCTCCGGGGGTCACAGTGAAGATGAAATAATGCAAACCCAGTGTTCAGCACAATTGCGAGAACTGCTGTTGGCATTCGTCTTCAGAATCTAGCTCAGGGTGTTTACCTTTGCTACAAACCATATTAATCTCTTCCGATCTTGATTGATTTGGGTCCCTCTTATATTTCATCTCACACTGTTCCTATCTTTCTCCCTTAGAAGCCTGACGAGGCCTGCAAGGCTCACCCTGGTCTCACTCTGAAGACTTGTCTTTCACATTGTTAGGTATTACTACTGTGTCCTAAAACCCGACAAAACCAATCCTAAGAGCACTGAAATTAGAATTGTACCGTGAATGATACCGCAAAAGTTCCTAAAACGTATTTTTTTTCCCCTAAAACGTATTTAAACGATTTTGTTCCGTTAAGTCTCCACTCCCTAAGCAGCTGTTCATTCTCCCATTTCTCCTTTTGGAGCGTCTGCTTCCCTCTCCGAGACCCCCGTGCTACTTAAGGGTGCAAAGGATGCGGAAGTCCCACAGGCCCAAAACCCGGGACTGCCGCGCCCGCAAGCGCGTGCGCAGAAGGGCGCCACTCGCTGACGTCAAGCGCCGCGCTCGGCTCCGCCTCCTGTGACGCCAGCCTCGCCACAGCCGCGCCCACGCCCGCCCGCGCGCTCCCGCGCATGCTCCGAAGCCCGCCCCCTTGCGTCACAGAATGGCCTCGGACCCCCAGGCGGCTCCTGACGTGTCGGGGAGGAGCCTGGCGCTGAGGTCCGTGGAGTGGAGCTTGGGGCTGCGGAGAGAAGCGTCGCTGATCGGCTGGGCGGGCCTGGCCAGGCCAGCAGAGCAGAGACGTCGGTCGAGCGGCTGTGAACATGAGCTTTTGACACATTAGAGGTGAGCCCGCCGCGCGGGGCCGCTCCCGAGGACCCGGGCCGGGCGGCGGCGCTAAGGCCTGCCCCGGGGGAGCCCGCCCGGCCTGGGCGCTGAGTGCGAGGCCCCTCCGCTGTGCTGTGGGGCGCCCAGTCCGGAGGCAACTGTTCCAACCGCTGCAACTGTCCCCTTCTCCAACTGGTCCGAGGTGTGGGCCTCCAGGGGTGCCTGCGAGGGAGCGAGCTCGGCGGCTTCCAGATGTGCTTCTGTCCCGGGGTGGGGACGGAGGCCGGGACGTGGCACCGTGGGTCAGGGCGCTTGTGGCGCTAGGAGCAGCTCGGTCGGAGGTGGCGGCGCGCACCAGCCCTCCCCCTTGAGCCTTCGCAGAATGCTTTCTGCTGCGAGTGGTAAAGGCCATTTGGATTTTGATCTCCCAGCGCCTCGTTTTGTGGGGGGCGAGAGCGGGCGCAGCCTACGCTGGGTTCTGATTGGCATTCGCGTGACTCCACGCCTGGAACCGCAGATCACCCCCTTAGAGTTCAGGAAAGTGTCACCAGCGGGTTTGGATTGCTTGTGCTCGTCCCTTTTTTGTTTTGGCCGGCAAGCGACGAGGTAACCATTGAAGTTTTGCTAAGAAAGTGAAGGTTTTTTTTTTTTTTTTTAAACTAATGATGATTCCGTTCCATTCCTTTCCTGTAGCGCCTTTACACATTTCTGCCTCTTGAATCTCATCACGCTAAAGTTGTGACAGATAACAGTATTGCCATTTGCTGGACGGGGAAATTGAGCCGAGGGGGGAGGCAGTGAAATTATGTATGTAGTAGGATTCAAAATGCCAAGAGGTTTAGCTTGGATCAAAATCTACATTTCTAAACTCAGAGTTCTGGCTTTTTAAAAATGAGATTTGTAATCCCTGCTCAACTAGAAAGCAAAGCAAAAAAATTGGCTTGTCACATGTACACCAGAAGCTAGTAGAGGATTTATCCAATTGTTTTTTGAGTAAACTCACCTGAAAAAGAACTATTTAGTTAAGAGTAAAACCTTAAGGTTGTTCATGGGTGGCTGGTTATTTTGTCTGATAAGATATATTGCTTTTTGTACATCTGATAGGGCAGTGGCTTTGTAAAATGAAATTACGGGTACAAAAATGTAATAAGTTATAGGGTGAGGAGAAGCTGTGGAATATTTGTCTTCTGAATGATTATGAAAATTACTGTGCTTAAGGAACTAAGAATATCTTTAGCTATTCAGTGTTGGAGCTGGGGGGTATGGTGGTGCATACCTGTAATCCCAGTACTTGGGGAGGCTGATGCAGATGGATTGCTATGAGTTCTAGACCAGTATGGGCTAGTGAGTTCAGGGCTGGCCTGAACTACATAAAGATCCTGTCTCAAAAAGCAAAACCAAAATTGAAGTTGGATAAAGAGCATTTGAAATGAATGACATACTGCTATCTATTAAAACTTAGGTTTGCACTCATGATTTTTATATAATTATAAAACTTTTTGATTTATTTAAACCATGGGAGGGGGCAGGGAGATGGCTTTGTGCTTTCCCTGGCCATCGCAAAGGCCTGAGTTCAATCCTAGGTTCTGCAAACAAAATAAATAAATAAATAAAATAAAAATACAGAGGGTCCAGGGATATAGCTCAGTGGCATAAGTGCCTTCCTGGCAAGTGCAAGGTTGTGAGTTTGATCCCCAGTATGGAAAAAACAAAACAAAACAAAAAATCCATATTGAGATAAGTTTGATTGCTAAAACTTAAAGTTACTGAATTTCTGACTGAAGTTTCTGAGCATCTCATAAAGGTGGAAAAAGAAGTTTGATAGAACTAAAACAAATATTATTATTATTATTATTATTATTATTATTATTATTTTTTTTTTTGGTGGAACCGGGGATTTTGAACTCAAGCCCTTGTGCTTGCCAGGCAAGCACTTAGTCTACTGAGCCATTTCCCCAGCCCAACAAATGTTACTTATGATTGGCTTTGGAAAGTTAAAAGTTCTGTAGAAGTTATCTTTCAGAGAAGTGAAAGAATTTCAGTAAAAAGGCTTGTATTACATATAGGGAGTCCCAGAAGAACTCTTTCAACCTCATTCGTCCGTCTTTTATTAACAAGACAATGTGTGAAATAGATTTTACCATTGTGCAAGAAGTAGTTTCCCTGTAAATAAGGCATTTTGGACAGGCTGTTTCTTTTTTAAAAATAATTTTATTGAGAAACAAATAGCAACGAGACAGTTTCAAAACCGATTACTAGCACAGTTTCAATAATTAATACATTGCATATTGTTGTCTTAGTGGTTATTCATTGTACAAGATACAGACATGATATCCTGTTGAACAGGCTGTTTCTAACCCAAGTGAGTTGTCATTTGTTAGATATCTGAAAATCACATAGTGTGTGATAATATCTAATGTAGAAGTTATAATTTTGAGACTCATACTCCATCTCCATCTGTATGAGACATGGTATTAAGGGAAGACTAGGAGAGCAGAAAATAATTATCTTTAGTCCAGCTTCAGAAAATTGCACATGTACTACTTGAAATATTTATTTAGTTTTGAAATATATTTATTTAGTTTTTCGCCTCCATATATCTTTTTCCCTCCTATCTTCAGCATTTTTTTGGTATTAGCTAACTTCCTTTAGCTTTAGTATTTCTAGTTACACAGTTTCGAATGACAGTGAACGTATCCTATCAAGATAATTTGAGTCAAACTGAGCACACTTGTTAGACCCTAAAGCAATCTTACGTATATCTGTAGTGGTAGTACATTTTTAGGTTTTTTTTTTTTTTTTTTTGATCTGAATGCCCTCAGGGGTGGTTTGGCTGGCTGGAGTGTTGTGGGGATGGAACTACAGCAACCTGAGGCTGACAGCTTTGTGGAAGCAGCCACTTAAACAACTGAGCTAAGGCCAGGCCCCCCATAAGGTTTTTTTTTTTTTTTTTTTGAATACATTTTTGTTATTTGTAAAAACATGGATTTTTAAAAAGGTTAAGTTGTACAATTAGAGTGATAAAGCTGGATAATTTAGGAAACAAAAAAATACGTGTGAACAAAATAAGAACTTTTGGCTTAGTTCTTAATCTTGCTCATAAAAGCAGTGCCAAAAGAGAAGTTTTGAAAATGCTTTCAGTAGTGGTGGTATCACTGAAATATGAATATAGCTCCCTGAAATGATTGCTACTAAGGAGTCATTTGTATGTTTTCAGGTTCTGAAGCCTGTTTACTTTGTGTCAAACTTCAAAGATCCACTACTGAGCTACCAAATCTTAATAATTTAATGAATACTTATGCTGTGTTTACTGTGTGTCAGGATCTATTAAAAGCACTTTACACATATTAAATCACTGTTCATAACAATCTCATGTTAGTGATCATCTCCATTTTATAGGAGAGGAAATGGGATACTGAGTAGTTTAGTAACTTGTCCAAGTTCACTCAATTAGTAAGTAAAGGAGCCTGATTTTAAATCCAGGCAATTTGAATTCAGAGTCTGGGGGTCTTAATCAGCATGCTATACTATACCTATGATTTATTCTTGGTTAAAATTTTAAATTTGATTTATTCTGGAAAAGATGATGGTCATTTTAGTGAAAGATTTCTGGCATAGGTTATAATACCATTCGAAGGGCCAAGAAGCAAACTGTGAAAATAGCCTTTGGATTAGGAAAAGTGCCAACATATAGTTCACATAAAATTCAGTTAGAAAATTAAGAATGTGTGTGGAAAGTGGGGCATGGTGGCACTTGCCTTTATTCCTAGCACTGGGAGAAGCTGAGGCTGGAGGCTTGCTTCCAGTTCAAGGCCAGTCTGAGGTATATAGTGAGTTCAAGGCCAATCTGAGCTACATAGCAAGTCCTTGTCTCAAAAAACCAGAAAACAAGAAGAAATTAAACAAAAGAATATGTCTCTTACAGCAGAGAACAAATGGATCCTTCATAGCACTCAGAGGTGTAAACAATGTTGTTCCCCAGGGATCAGTAGTCAAGTGTCCTTCAAAACAGTAACTGCCTTGAGGTTCTGACTGTGTATGCAGGTAGCAAGGAGCAAAAACCCCCAACACCACCCAGGAAAGTTTCAAAGTGGCCATGTGAGTCACATTTGTAGATGAAAACAGTCTTGGTTCTCTTTGTAGGAATGAATTCACATTTATAGTACAGTAAGTAATTCAGATAAATGTTAGATGATGAGGAAGTCATCTAACAGTCATTAGGAACTCCACAAAGACACTAGTGCTGTATGGTAACAAAAAGAGTACTAAAAACTCAAAATTTATCCTACCAGTGAGTAAAATGTAAAGTACTGAAATAACACCTGTTTTGCAGCTTCAGAAAGCCTATATGTAATCTAAGGGTGACCAAAAGCGTGACTGCAAAAATATTTACGAGACTAACATGAATGTTAAATGGTCATAGGCTAAAAAGACAAGAAATATTAACACTAGGAGCATCAAAACTGAGAATTATTATCATCAGTCTGTTCAAATCAGAAATGGCATAAAAAGAATATAAACTTGTTCACCAAATTCTGGGACCTTACAACAAAGCAATTTATGAAACTTATGACATGGGCCCAGGGAGATAGCTCAGGATCCTGAGTTCAATCCCTGGTACCACAAAAAAAAAAAAAAAAAAAAGAAAGAAAAAAAAGAAACTTATGACAAATGCACATTAAAAAATGGGAAGTTCATTGGTAGCTATAAAGTTATGGGACTTACTCCATTGCTTAGAATAATTCAGAAATCAGACAATTTAAAGTTTTAGATTTGAAATCATTTATTAAAAATTTTATATAAGTATCAGGACTTTCTTAAATTGCTTTTTTATTCTCCCGAGGTTTCTATTTGCCCTTTTTCTAGTTGACAGATGAATATTATGCCTTTACCATATACTCAGGTTTATCCAGCTTCTTAATCTGCTATTTTGTGGTATTCTCCCTTGGGAGCCATCCCTTGGTTTTTTTGGGGCGGGGTGGGGGGGTTTGGCAGAACCGGGGATTGAACTCAGACCTTCCTACTTGCCAGGGAAGCACTTATTTTACTGAACCATCTCCCTGGCCCCCATCCCTTGTTTTGACAGCTCTCTGGACCTACTGGCTAGGATTCATCCCACGACTTCTTTTCATTGCAGTCTTGAGACTTTGCCTTTCTGTGGGCTTCATTCTATGCAGTCAGGCCACTGTTTTCTCCCTTCTTTTGTAACTCTCAGGAAGTATGTGGGAAGATAACTCATGGTTTGTGTATGAGAATAAAAATTCTCTTTATTTCCTGAATTGTCTATTAACTCTCAGTTTAGTAGGTCCTGGGCTTTTCTTCTTTATGCCACTGGTGTCCCATTTGCCTTGCGGTTCCTGGTTGTCCATGTGTACTTAGGACTGATGGCTGGATGGCTCAGGCAACTGGTATACAGTAGTTTCTCTGATGTTCTCCTCAGCAAGTCCTATCAACTGTACTCTTTGTGGTGTCTACACAACTGACTGTGAATGTAGTTTCCATGCATCAGACTGATAAGTTTATGCAACTGGAAATAATAGATTTTCATACATGGTGGTACATTGTGAGGTAGAAATAAAATAGTAGTAGGTCTTTTTGCTTATTGCTTAAGATGAAGATTCAGATGTTCAAGGAAAATTATTTTCTACTTTGGAAGTAGAGTGAATAGTGAAGGAAAGGTTATAAACCAGTTCAAGTGATATTTATTAAACTTATGCATTACATGTTTCTGGTTATGTGGGAAGTATAGAAGGACTTATGAATAAGACACAGGACCTGCCCTCAAAGAACTGTCTAGGGAGACTTTACCTTTCATTCCTCTGAAGCTGTTGTTGAAAGTAAAGTTAGTAGCAGTAGAGCTTTGCTTCTTCTGTTACTAGTTCTTGGAACATTTCAAAAACCAGAAGCATTGAATTGGGTATCAGAAATGACATTTGGGTTGCATGTTGACATGTAGTTGCCAGTGTTGACATGGTAGCATAACCAAATTTCGGAGCCGGTGCCCATGATCGTGTGATTGCCTTCTTTAGAGCTGGATTTGTAGATTTAAATGTAATCACAATTTTAGGGTATTTGGGGGAAAGACCTTCTGTAGAGCATTCAAAGGGCACAAGGATTATTGCCTCATCTCTAAGTGCTCCCTCATATGTCTCACAATTCTATCCTTCCCTGAATTGTTAAAATATGTCCTTTACCTCAAGGAGACTTAGGCTATACCTTTGAGGAGTTATTGATTCCACATAGTGATGACTTTAGGTATGTACTTTGAGTCCTTTGAAATATGAATGCCTCTTGTTCCTGGATAAGCCTTGTCCTCACAAAAACCTTATTACAAAATAAACTAGTTACAAGTAAAATTACCTCTGTATCTGAGAAAGAGAAGTGGAAATTAGGAACTTTGATGAAGGATTAGGATTATAAAAATCAGTGTACATATACTTGAAGAAGCATTATAAGTCATCTAATGTAGTCCAAACCTTTTTTAGATGAAAAAAGTTGAGGCTCTGTTTAAGTAATTCAATAGCAGAATTGGAATCCTACAGCTCAGCCTCAACAAGACTCCCAGCTTGTGGCGTTAACATTTTAAAGTGCTGTCATGCTATAAAAGTATCCCCCAGAACAGAATAATAGAGACAGCTGTGTGCTTGTGTAGGGGAAAATCAGATTAGGGGAAGGTATATTTGGCTAATAAATATTTATCCAGTGCAGAACAACTCTCACACATGATAGGCATTGTGTAAATATTTGCAAGCATTAGGTGCTTCCTCTGAGCAAGGTTTTATGCTTGGTGCCATAATGAAATTATAAGATGTGTCAAGGATCCATCTTGTTCAAAGAACTTTCGGGCTGATTGGTAATTTAAGATAATTAGAAAGTTGACTAACAGCTGTCAAAATAATAATAGTATGGCGGAGAAAGACTTGATTAAGAAAAATGGACTGGGAGTATAAGCTCAGTGGCACAGCGCCTACCTGGCAAGTGCAAGGTCCTGAGTTCAATTTCCTATACCATCCACCACCCACCCACCCCACCAAAAAAAAAAAAAAAAAAAAAAAAAAAGAAAAAAAGAAAAGTTTGCAGTAGGCTCAAATAAATTAAATCAAATGTATAAAGTTACAGTTTTGTTTCATCCCATTAAAATCATTGTACATACCTCTTCGGTATGTTCACCTAGAAGTTGGAGTTTTATATTTGTTTTTACCTGTCATAGTTTTTGCTAAGTCTTTATGAGTGAACTGTGTTAGATGAACTCCAAAATTCTCTATACCTCCAGGGTTTCATTAACTTACTTTTAAAGTTGGTCTTGTTCTTGCTGCCCTCTAAGGATTATGTTGAATCAGTTATCATTTAATTCCATATATATTGTTGGGCACCTCCTATTGTGCAGGCATTATGCTGAGATAGAAATTCATACAGTACTGCTGTACAGTCTAACAGGACACAAAGGTGTAAACACATGCATTGCTGTGGGGCAAAGATATCATTGAAAGTATGCATGGGGATAGCTATAGCTGAGAGTACAGGAGATTTTAACGTTGTTTGAGGACAAGACAGGCTTTCTGGAAAAGGTGACAGCTGGTCTTAAAGAATAAACAAGAGCTTTCCAAATGTAAGGAATGAGAAGCCACTTCAGATAGAGACGACACTCAGATCTGAAATGAAATAATGGGATATTAAGACACTTTTGAACAGTAGTTCTGGGATATAAGGTGGATTGCTTATGAAGGGGCTGTAGGAAATAGTAGGCACAAATGTAGGGTAGGCCTGATGTTTTTGATATTCCATAACCTGACAGTTGGGAGTTTTAGCCAAAGTACAAGGTTTTTCCCCTCCCTCTCTGCAAAAGATTCTTGAGTGGTGATATGCACCTAAAATTCCTGCTACTCAGGAGATTGAGCAGGTTCAAACCCAGCCTTGACAAATTAGACCTTCTTGTAGTGTTGCCTTTAAAAAAAATATATATTTGAAAGAGTGGAAACAAAAGCAAAAGCAAATAGCAAAAACAGAGACAGAAACAGTAGCTTACAACAATACATATGGTACATATTTTCAAAATAATAGCAAATTAACAATGGTTGTTACATTATATATTTTTATCATCAAATCTATTGCTCAGATTAACAGATATAGGTTTGCAAAATTAGATGAATAATTGAAAGTTAATGCTTGCTTTCAATAAATCTTGATTTTTTTTACCTTTTTACTTTTATTATTTTTCAATTTGCTTTAAAGAATGCATAATCATAATTGATATGACATTAGAAATGGAACACATTTAGAACAAGATGATACATATTCAGTTGTGGGTTTTGTATTTCACGTTGCTGTCTTTGATGTAGTTGCTCAGATTGTAGATATTCGAATATAGAGTTAGTCAAAATAAAAAATTTAAACATTTAAACTTTAAAAAGTAAAATTTAAACTGCTATTTAAAAAAAAACTGATGGAAATTAGTAATACAATCATCTCAGCTATCCTGAATATATAGTTGTATGATTTTCCCCATCTTATCTCCTTTCCTTCATATTCCTTATTCATTCGTTATATTCAGTTTCTTTCCATTTTACTATGATAGACCCTATCTTAAAATTTAAAAAAATAAAATAAAAAGGACTGGCCAGGTAGCTCAGCAGTAGAGTGCTTGCCTAGCATAAGTGAAGCCCTGGTTTCAATCCCCCTCTTTGCAAACAAACAAAAAAATCACTGAAGTTGGAGATGAAGTAGACTTTGAGCACTTAACCTACTGAGCCATCTCCCTGGCCCCTGAGTTTTGGACTTAAAAGATAATTAACAAAGAGAAGGCTTTTAGAAATGTGATAGTAGCAAGTTATTAGGCATGTCTAAGCTGGTAGCATCACCTGGAATGAAGTTTTCAAGCAGGGGTTTCGATGCAGTTGTACAATAGGGAAGAGCATGCAGTAGCAGTGACACTGTATTCTGACACCATGCTTATTTCTGTCACCTGATTCCCAGAACAACTTGGAACTCTGTGCTGGATGATTCTGTGGGGTCACGTCACCCGAATCCAGGGCAACAACCTCAGTGGCTTTGTACTAAAGGACTGTGTTGTTTTGTTTCCTGTCATGACCTCACCTTCAATATTTGTTGTTCCTGAGTGGGGCAGTGAAGTGATACATGTGCCTGAGTTACATGGAAGAGTTAAACACTCTTGGAATCTTTCATATTTAACTTCCTCTAGAATGCTGCAGATTTGTGTTGTCTCAGATTTTAAGCTTTTACTTAGATTTCTGTGTTTCTCTATTTAATTTATAATAGTTTGTCTTTAATATTTTATAGGCTTTCTTGATCATGGATGGTGAAGATATACCAGATTTTTCTAGTTTAAAGGAAGAAACTGCTTATTGGAAAGAGCTTTCCCTGAAGTATAAGCAAAGGTAATATTGAAAGTATATTAAAATTAGGGGAAAGCATTTGGAATGCACTGTTTAGTTTGTGCTTTCCCACCCCATATTGGGGGGTTGAACCCAGCGCCTATGTTTAAAGCTACATTTTTTTTATTATTCAAAGCATTTTATTATTTTAAATTTAAAACAAAAATAATTTTTATTATTTTTATTAGTTTGAGACAGAACCTCACTAAATTGCTGTATTACTCATATTGGCATTGAACTTGTGATCCTCCTGCTCCTTCAGCCTCCCAGAGTGCTAGGATTACAGGCACGTGCCATCATGCCCAACTTGTGTTTTTTAAGACAAAGCTAAATTTAGAGTTTTAGATTTCAAATTGTGATTTTAGAAATAGTTACAACATTGCTTGTATTTAAATAGCATAAACATACCATAAATTTTTATTGTTCTGAAGTAATAGGAAAATGCTAGGAATGGTGGCACATGCCTGTAATCCTAGAGGCTGGCACAGGAGAACTGCCATGATTTCCAGGCCAGCCTGAGCCACACAGTGAGCACAAGGCCAGCCTGGACAACACGGTGAGATGCTGTCTTGGGAAAAAAAGGGGGACAACTTAGTGCCTTTATGAGGTTTGTTTTTTTTTTATATATATTTTTCTTCTTTAAATGTTTATTACTACCCTGGACCATCTTTGGTCTGCTGTGTTTGTACCATTTCTGCCTCATTTGCCCATTTGGAGAATGCTGTAACAGACTTTAGTTCTCTTTGGGCAAGCATTGTTAGTATCTACAGCTGGCTGAGCTTTGATGGAGGATGCACACAAGAGCTGTGGAACATTTTATAAAAATTTCTCTCTCTTTCTCTCCCTCCCTCCTTCCCCCCTCCCCCGCTCCCTCCCTCCCTCTTTCTCTCCCTCTCCCCCTTCCCCTCCCTATATATATATCTATATCTATCTCCCCAGGTCAAAAATTTCAGTTTTTGCCAGGGTGATAGCTGAGTGGCTTAAGCACCTGCTTGGCAAGCATAAGGTCCTAAGTTCAATACCTGATACCAACCCCCCCCCCAAATTCAATTCCTTTATTGTTAGGAGACTTATGGGTGGATAATAGCTGATTTTCAATTGCAACTTATCTTACATTTCTTTTTTAAGAATGGAATTTTTTTTCCCTACACATTTTCCTACTTTGGTTACAGAACTAAGCCTTATCAAACCTCATTGATCTGTCATTGTTTTCATGAAGCCAGTTACTCTGTTGTGAAAGTAGATCTAGATGATACATATTTGCGGCAGTCTTTTGTGTCATATGGTTGGTAAACCTATGGATGTCTGCTCAAAATATATAACATTAAATAGAGAAATTACAAAGGAAACTAATTGTTTGAAAATAATTTAACTATTAAACTAATATGTGGTATAGTGATAATGTGTCAGTCCACAACCTAAAAAGATCTAGGGGAGTGTGTAATAATTTTGAATTAGTAGTGGAATAAATGATTGAGATATCTGCAGAACCGTTAACGATATGAATAGCTGTGATTTGTAAAAATAGAGATGCATTGTTTTCTTCTAGTTTTCAGTTCTGTGGAAGAATAAGCTAATGGTATTGAACTGTGCAGACTTTCATAACTATTATAATTACTGATTTGTGAGTTTTTTGGGGGCTTATATATAGTTCATTTTGAACCCTAAATATATAGAGTAAAAACAAAAGATTGTCTTTATTGTTTAGCATATTTTATGAGAGCATTAGTTTTGTTTCAGACAAAGATGATTGAATTGATAGATGATTATCTTCAAGGTGATCTTGTGGTTCCTGCTGTTACTCATCTGTCCCACTTTGTTTCTGATTAGCTTCCAGGAAGCTCGAGATGAGCTAGTTGAATTCCAGGAAGGAAGCAGAGAATTAGAAGCTGAATTGGAGGCACAATTAGAACAGGCAGAGCAAAGAAACAGAGACCTACAAGCTGATAACCAAAGACTGAAATATGAAGTGGAAGCACTAAAGGTAATTATGACAATAGAACTGGTGTCTAGTATACTAGATTTTATTAAAAGGAGAAATAATGTCTTTGGCATGGTGTGTAAAGATAGCATGCAACAAAATTTTTTACAAAAACTTTAAGTGAATTTTAGAATAAAATGTTTTCTTTCATTGAACCAAGGGAAAGGTGGTTCTGAATTTAGGAGTTCACCATGTAATCTTTCATTGTCAGTTGTCTAGCTGTAGTGTCCCTAGTTATATTTTGTTTTAGTTCTTGGAACTTTTTTTCTTTTTTGAGACAGGATCTTTCTACATAATGCAGGCTGGTCTAGAACTTACTATGTAGGCCGGCTAGCCTCAAACTCACAGTGATCCTTTTTTTTTTTTTTTTTTTTTTTGGTAGAACCGCGGATTGAACACAGGCCCTTGCACTTGCCAGGGAAGTGCTTATTCTACTGAGCCATCTCCCCAGCACCATACAATGATCCTTTTGTCTCAACCTCCTGTCTGCTGGGATGATAGATGTGCTCTAGCATGTCTGGCAGTTCTTAAGTTTTCAAAAGCTCCCTGATGATTTGTATTGATAGATTGTTTGCCTCTATATTTGTATGAACTGTACATTTATTCCATTGTTCATAGCCCTTTCAGTTTGGGAGTTTATTTTGAGGAATGAAAGGATTAACTGCTGCCCCTTCTTTACTACTCTTTTTACCCTGTGTGGGAATATTTTTCTTCGGGAGTGGGTGGGATTGGAGGCCAGGCAAGGGGAAGGGAATTTAACAGTGTTTGTCTCTGTGTTTATCATGGGCTGCATTTAGCTTGAGAACCCAGAGCTTTCTCTATCGTATTTGGAGATTTTGAGCTTTGTTTTGCTTTGCTTGGCTTTGCTTCTCTCTCTCCCTCTCTCCCTCTCCCCCTTATACTTCCCCCCCTTTGGACCCAGAGCCTCACACCAAATTATAGCCCCACCCTATTTATTTATCTGATTTTAAAATATATTGATTACATTCATTGTCAGGGTTGGTGCATATACGTATTGTGACACATTTTAATGCTTTTCTCTTCTGATAACGTCTTTCCCTTCCTTAATTTATAGTTCCCCTTCCCATTTGCAGAGGATCTTTTTATTTCACATTATCTTTTATTTTGCTTTTTAAATATTTATACTTTAGATCTCTTATAGTCCTGCAGATGACTCAAATTTTTTTCTTTATGACTGAATAGTATTCCACATGTATATATGCCACATTTTCTTTATCTTTTCACCTGTTGATGGGCTTGTAGGTTGCCTCCAAGCTTTAGCTGTTAGTGGTGCTGCTATAAGCATGGGTGTGCACGTTATCACTGGAGTGTAACTTTTGGGAACACACCTGAAGGGGGACTAGCTAGTTTCTTTCTTTTTGGCGGAACTGGGGATTGAACTCAGGCCCTTGGGCTTGCCAGGGAAGTGCTTATTCCACTGAGCCATCTCCCCGGCCCAGGCTATTATTCTTGAGAAGGTCTTGTTAAGCTGCTCATTGGCTCAGGCTGGGCTTTAAATTGTGATCTTACCTTAGCCTCCCAGAGTGCATGGATTACAGGCATGTTCTACCATATCTGGCAAGATAGAACCTTCTTCTTCTTCTTTTTTTTTTTAGAGCTATTATAAGAGTGAGTAATTATTGACTTGATTTTATGGGAGTTAAGGTTCTTAGAATTCTTTTAAAAATTTTATAAAAAGGAGAGGGAAACTGTCAACTCAGATTGTGAGTGAATTCCCTGAATTTTTTTCCTTCAAATTGGATTATTTCCCTTATTATGGAAGACCTGTATTAATGATACATCTTTTCTTTTGTATGCCTCAGGAGAAACTAGAACATCAGTATGCACAGAGCTACAAGCAGGTTTCTGTATTAGAAGATGATTTAAGTCAGACCAGAGCCATTAAGGAGCAATTGCATAAGTATGTGAGAGAGCTGGAGCAGGCCAATGATGACCTGGAGCGAGCAAAAAGGTAATGTGTGTGCTGTGTGAGAAAAATCCAAGTTCACAGTCAGTGATTAAAATCGGTATCAGTAGGCTTGCCCTCTCATCTAGATCTCAGTCCCAGAACGTTTTCTTTTGGTATTTCCTGTCACTTGTAACTCATTGGATTGAAAGGGACCAGAAATTCTTATCTTTCCTGATAACATTCTTCTGAACTTTTCTTTTAATCTTTCTTTTTTTGTATGTGATTATTTATTGACCCTTCTGGCTCCATCTTTTATTCTCTCATTTACCAAATATTACCACACTTTGTGTGTAGGTTCTCGAGCCTTTTGCTTGGATTCTGTAGTTATCTCCTAGCAGATCTACATTCCTTTTTAGTATTGCCTGATGAATTTTTTTTCCCTAAACATTGCATTTATTACAGTTTTCCTATGCAATCTATAGTGACTCGCTGTTACTATTGCCAAGTTTTTATGCCTCTATATTTAGTTGTTTCTTAACTATTTAAAATCTAATTCCTATTACCTTATAATAATTGCCTGGTATTTCTTTCCTTAATATTTATCAAGTTACTCTTGAGCTTGACACCAGGCCCAGGTTGAACTCAGGGAGTACTTTCTCTAGGGGTTGACAGATCAGAAGTTTACAGTGGCAAAGGCAGTAGTAAAAAGAAGGCTTAGGTTACTCCAGGGAATGGAGACCCGCCAGAGCACCTTCAGGAACTGGGGAACCTTTGCAATTACTGGAGCTGAGAGACTGTTAACTGGGTGAAGAGACAGGTACAGGGGCAGAGGCAGAAAGGTGATTGAGGCATTAATATAGTTCACTTTGACTTGTCCAGACAACATGGCTGAATGAGATGAGGCTGTGGAGATGGCTGGGGCAGGTTAGGAAGAAACTAGCATTGGGAATTATTCTTTAGGTGTTGGGGAGCTCTTTGAAATTTATTTTTCTTTGTACAAAGAAGTAATACAAGATTTTGATTTGAGAAGGTAATACTGAGGTGTTGAGGCAGGGAGGAGACTTGAAGATCACTAAAGGAGTAATCCAGCTTGATGCATGAAGAGTTAAGGCAGAAGACTGGAGAAGGTTGGGCCCAAAGAGGAAATGGATTTGAGAGACATTTTGGCAATTGCCAGGAATTAATAAAATTAGAGATGATGGGCCGGGGAGATGGCTCAGTGGAATAAGTGCTTCCCTGGCAAGCGCACGGGCCTGAGTTCAATCCCCGGTTCCACAAAAAAAAAAAAGAAAATAGCGAGTGGCAAATTTAGCCCCAGCCTGGGCAACATAACAACTTAGTGACAACCCAAAAAAAAAAAAAAGAAAAAAAAAAAAATTGGAGATGACATTCGAAGTTCCATTTTGAGGTTAGGGAATTTTATTTCTGCAGAAGGTAGCACAGAGTGGGAGGGCTTGGAGTATACTGGTGCTTGTTAATATATGTTGAATGGGGGCCGGGTGTGATGGCTCACACATGTAATCCCCACACTTGGGAGGCTGAGGCAGGAGGATCATTGAGAGTTGGAGGCCAGCCTGGCCTACAAAGTGAGTTCAAGGCTGGCCTGAACTGTGTAGTAAGACCCTGTCTCAAAAGATAAAAAAGAAAAAAATTGTTGAATGGGGTAAGATCATTCACTCTGAACTGGGCCAGGATGGCCAGGTCAGGAATGGCATTAGAGAAACTGTTTCCCTTTGTATAGCTGTTTTGTTTGCACATGTTATTTATTTGATTCCTGAATTCCTTTTTAGAGCAACAATAGTTTCCCTGGAAGACTTTGAACAGAGGCTAAATCAGGCCATTGAACGAAATGCATTTTTAGAAAGTGAACTTGATGAAAAAGAATCTTTGTTGGTTTCTGTACAGAGGTTAAAGGATGAAGCAAGAGGTAAGATTTATAATTTAGAGAATATTTATCTATTACCTTACTGTTTATAAGCAGAAAGCTCAAGGATCAGCTTCTTTATGTTTTTTCATTTTTTGGGGGTGCTAGAGATTGATGGAGATTGAACCCAGGGCACTGTATATGCTAGTCAAGTGCTGTACTATTAAACTACATCCCCAGGCCTTTCTGCAAATTTTTATTTTGAGGCAGAGTCTTTCTTAATTGCCCTGGCTGACCCGTTATCTTGAAGTTGTGCCTCAGCCTCCTGTGTAGCTGAAATTACAGGTGTGCAACACCGCACTTTGCCATAGCCTCAATTTCTTTTAAATTGCAGTTTATATGATTTTGAGGTGTTTTTAATGTTAATTTATTTATATCTACAGAATCAATGCTAGGAAGTTTTATTTTTATTATTATTAGTTTGTCTTGAGATAGGGTCTCACTGTGCAGTTCAGGCTGGCCTTGAGCTAACTGTGTAGCTTAAGCTATCCTGGAACTTGTGGCAGTCCTCCTGTCTCAGGCTCCAGAGTACTGGGATTATATGCACTTGCCACCATGTCTGACACAACTGTTTTGTAAATGTGAAAACTGAGGTAGAAAGGATTTGAGTTTTGTGCAAGGTAGTATAGTTTGTCAGCTGTGATTCAAACCCTGGTTTTTCGAAGATTTAACCACTGCTAGCACTATTGTTTTTTTTTTTTTTTTCTTAACTGCTTTTACTGAAATAGTTTTATATGTGTACATAAATATTGTGTACATATTATACATATTGTTAATACTTTAAAAGAATTTTCCCTTATTTAATTCTTTATGTATGATAGAATTCAGAATATCATAAAAAATAAAGTAAAAATCACTGCCAATCACTATCTGAAAACAATCTACTAACACCATTGTCTTCAGTCTTTCCTATGACTGTATATAGCCATATCTATATTTTTTCCTTTATGTAATTCTTATTTCCTGCTTATTATGGGGAACATAATCTATATTGTTAACAAATGTTTTTAAACAGGGTTTTTAAAAATGTTCTGAAATACTGTGTAGTTATGCTCTATCTAATGAGTTCATTATTGGTGGCCAGTTTTGCTTTAAGTAGTGTTGGCCGAGAATGGTGCCACAGGCATATAATCCAAGCACTAAAGAGGCCAAGGCAAGAAGATTACCATGAGTTTGAGGTCAGCCTGGGCTACATAATCATTTGAGGGCCAGCTTGGACTGTATAGTGAGACAACCCCCACCGAAAATGCCTCCCAAGAAAAAAAGTGTTTTGATTAGAATCCTCATACATATTAGAGTGTTTTTATCTTTTTTTTTGTACTGAGGAGTGACCTTAGGGCTTTGTGCATACTAGAAGTCACTTTACCACGAAGCTACATTCCCAGCCTTACTGAACATTTTTAATGATTTTTGTAGAAGAAATTCTTAGAAGTGGCAAATGAAACAATGTTTTTGTGGTCATAATATGCAATGCTAACTTTTTACAGCTTTCTTACCTTTCTGTTCCCTCTGGCAGTGGTAGGGCAGGGATGGTGGTTTCACACTTTTCCTTAGTATTGTCAATAACAAATACTTCTAAAATGTGTTTGAAAGTTGAAGATTGCTATCTCATTGGTTTTTAATTTGAAGTTATTTACTACTGATAAAGCTTTTTTCCAGTGTTTTTTTTTTTTTTTTTGGTTCCTCGAATGCCTTCAGGGCACTTTTGGCCAGCGGGAGAGTTGTGAGGTTCGAACTCCAGCAACCTGAGGCTG